GGGGGGGAAGGATCACACCAGAAAATTGCCCAATGTTTAGGGGGCAGCGGGAACATCTGGAATTTTTTAAAGAGCAGCACAGGCTTTTTTGCAAAACAGCTGCCAAGTGAGGACTTGGCAAGTCACAAAATGGCTGCCATGGGTGAGCGAGGCCATGTGCAAAACAACCATTTCCCATCCAGTGGTGAGGCAAATGGAGAAGGAATTTGTCAAGAACCTAAGTACCGGTCAGAAGAAGGGTCTGAGCAGCACCAAACTACAGAGCCACATTGCTGAAAGCCCCATGTGCTTCTTCAACTCAAGAGAGACGGACTGGTAGAAGGTAGAAAATGCTGCGGCCACACTGCAGAATTAATGTAGTTTGACACCACTTTAACCATCATGGCTCCATCCTATGGAATCCTGGGATTTGTAATTTGTTGTGGCACCAGAGCTCTCTGGCAGAGAAAGAGAAATATCTCACAAAACCCAGGATTCCATAGGATGGAGCCATGGCAGTTAAAGCTGTGCCAAACTGCTTTATTCCTCCAGTGCAGATGAAGCCAGAGACATAATGAGGCCAAAAAGTGAAATGCATGTCAGAGGCAGTCTTGACTCACCTGCAAATAACACATATTAGCCCCTGCACAACACACAACATGCTAAACATTAAGGGCAGAATTGTTGTGGTGCCGTGCACCTGTGTACGTACGTTCCCTAACATGTGCGTGTCTTTACTTTACTGGCCCCTTTTGCAGGAGAAGAACAACCTCAAGACAGAATTTACTAAAGAAAATCTGAAGATGACAATGTACGATTTATTTATTGCTGGGACAGAAACCACCAGCACTAGTCTGAGATATATCCTCATGACTCTGCTTGAGCACCCAGAAGTGGAAGGTATTTCCCAAACATTGGATTGGCTATGTTTGCCTTTGCTTGGATTTTTAAATATGTACGTTACCCTAAAGGCAGCAGATCACATTTGGTCTTGGAAGCTGAGCAGGGTCAGCCCTGGTTAGGATTGAATGGGAGACCATCAAGGGATACCAGGTGCTGTAGACTCTATTTCAGAGGAAGGAACTGGCAAAACCGCTTCTGGATAGTACTTGCCTAAGAAAAGCCTGTGAAATTCATGGGGTCACCATAAGTCAACAGGCGACTTGAAGGCACATGCACACACTCACTCACTTTAGCCATTGAACTGTGTTTCTCTGCCAGCTGCCCCATAAACAGTTGCAGCTGGCGGATCTCCTCCTGGGAAGGAGGAAAGAAAAAGATCTCCCTGGGCTTCCTAAATTGTCTCCTTCGCCATGTCTGCTCACACTTAGACAGACCCTCTGACTTAGCCCCGAATCCCATTTGTAGACCCACTTGATCAATGGGATTTACATAGCACTGTGACAGGTTTGCCTTAGAGTCTCCATAAGTCAGAAATGACTTGAAGGCACACAACAACAAGCAACAAATTATGCTTCAGTCCCTTTCCTACCATCCATCATTTCCAAAGTGAATATGACCATTTAGCATCAGGTGTAGCCTTGCTCACTGCTATCAGGTGGTGGCTTCCATAGTAGGGGTGCAATGGACCCATTCTGAGCTTTGATGG